AAAATACACTTGCTCAGCTTCTTAGCATGGGTGTAATCCCAATCGTCAATGAGAATGATACTCTGACTGTATCGGTATGTTCAAACCAGTCACCCATCCGTTTCGTTATCTCTGCATGTTGAGATATCGGTTGCTGACCGGAGGTTTCAATCCAATAGGAAATCAAATTTGGCGACAATGATACGCTTTCTGCTATCACTGCAGCGATGATCGAAGCAGACTACCTCTTCCTTATGACCGATGTAGATGGGCTCTACACCGCCAACCCCCGGACCAATCCCGATGCTCGGGTTATCGACATTGTCCAGGATATCTCAAGTCTTGAAGCCGACGTGTCCTCCGCTGGATCGTCACTTGGTACCGGTGGTATGGGCTCAAAGATAGTGGCGGCAAGACTAGCCACAAGTGCGGGCGTTACCACTGTCATCACCCGTAGTTCCCGTCCCGGAACTATCGAGGAGATTATCGAGCATCATTCGTCCAATGACGCTACTTCATCCGATAGTGCTCTGGGTGTGGAAGAAACAAAGCCCGATCCACCGTTGCACACCTGTTTCCTCCCTTCAGACTCGCCCGTACATTCTCGGTCCTTCTGGCTTCTCCATGGCCTCAAGCCTCACGGAAGCGTTTATATCGACGAAGAGGCATACAACACCATCCGAGACACAGGCTATCTCCTTCCATCCGGCGTAATCGCAGTCGAGGGCAAATTTGGATACATGGAAGCCATCAAGGTGATGGTTGCGCCGCGTCCATCACAGATTGAGTTAAACGATGACTACCCCATGGCCTGCAGTACTCCCAAGGAAGCGAAGGAGGTAGGTAGAGGACTTATCAATTACGGCTATGCCGAGCTTTCCCGGATCAAGGGCTTGAGGAGCACCCAGATCCATTCTGTGCTGGGATACTCTGGCAGTGAGTATGCTGTGTCCAGAGAGAACCTGGCTTTCTTTGAAATGCCGAGTCGATGCATGACCCCAACGAGCCTGTCTTCGCCGGCTCCTGAGACGTATAACGACAAAAATCCCCTTAATGATATCCCTGCTGCTTCTGCCAACCAGTAGTCTGGTAGCTATTGCATGCCAGCACAGTTGTATTGGTTCTGTTCATTTTTCCGTTGCTTCTTATTTTTGTGGTTTTTTCTTTCTTTCTTTCTTTCTTTCTTTTTTTATTCCTGTTTCGTTAAATGGATTTGACTTGGGACTTACGTGAAGGAAGAAAAGGGAGGCAAGAGAAAAGGTGCTGCTGGATTCAATAATACAGAGAACCGGCTAGTTTTGTTTTCTGGGTGCACAATGCTGTATATAGAAGGTGGGAACACAATTGTCATAGAGGTGAAGTTCTAGATGTATTCTCAACAACATCATCATCATATCATTAACAACGGCGGATAGCTCTGGTTGCTCGAGTAGGAACATAAGAGGTGTGAGGGTTGCCGTAGGCATCTAAAGCCAGCTAGTATACCTATAGGCTGGATGTTTAACCATTCCTTATATCCGTATTCAGAAAGGATATTCATGAGGGTTGCGAGAAATGCCAGATGGGCTAGTAAGTGTTCTGTACCACGGACTGTCCCATGTCTACCTCGAAACGCCAATAACCTATGCTTTCATGATTAGGGTGTACATATTGGGGGTATTGCTATTATCGAGCTTATATCATATTACCAAGATTGTGGCTTAATCTTGCCACCGCCTGAGGAACCTTGCCATGTCTTCGTCAACTGGAGCATGCTATAAGACACAAGTTAGTGGTTGCTTCATGAGTTCAGTGATTCAGGGAGTGTAGCTCACTGTGTTTTCATGGGCCTCGGCAGTCAGGGTAACTGAAGCAGAAATGGTAGTCCTAACAGTAGGTGGTGGTAAGAAAGTGGTAGCAACTTTGTATGGGCTGGTGGGAAATTGAGGTGTGGCTGCTTTTTTAACTATTTTCTTCGGTGGTTGCTTTGGTACGGGAGCGTATCTTGTGAGCCCAGTCTGCTCCGGGTAAGGTACAGTTTGGACAATAGTTGGTTCTGCTGCAGGTGGCGGAGCTGCTGCTGGAGGTACGCCTGCTGGAGGTGCAGCAGCGGGGGGAGGTACTCCCGCTGGGGGTGCTCCCGCTGGGGGTGCTCCGGCAGGTGGTGCTGCGGCAGGTGGTGCTCCGGCAGGTGGTTTGCCTCCTGGTGGTACGGGTGCTGCCGGATTGCCTGCTCCTGGCGCTGGCGCTGGGGGGGCACCAGCACCTGGAGCTGGGGGGTTGGCAGCACCGGGTGCTTGAGGGTTAGCTGCGCCAGGGGCTGGGGGTACTGCAGCGCCAGGAGCTGGAACTTGACGTGCTTGGATTCGAGCAGTATCTGATTCGTCCGGTTTAGGGAGCGATCGAAGGCCCTTCTCAACATTGGGCGAGAAGGAGCCAGTCATGCCAGTGAGGGTGAAGCGGTATGAGTACCCTTGCATTCCATTGAGGACAGCTTCAAGGAAGCTGGAAATCAATTAGCATCATACCCGCCATAAACATAACCCAGTTAATCGACACTTACTAGCCATTGGGGTACTCGCTTCCAGCATTCGGGTCGACCTCAGCGGTGGTCTGGACCGGGTTGCTTAAGATGGTCCCCTTAAATAACTGTGCCACGCGTTCCTTCACAACACATTTAGCTATCAATTAACAGCGCTCGAAACGTCCTTCTGTCTCCAATCTTACATGAGTGTTGTCTTCGTTGCCTCCTGCACACAGCCATATACTGTAGTCAGTGCCTAGTAGGAACGAGGTAGCGTTCTCCGGGAACGACCATTCGATATCAAGGGGGGAGGTGGCATCAAGCACTGCCAGCGCCTGTGGAGCTTGGAACTCGACAGCAGAGACGATGCTGAACCATGCAACAAGGGTGAGGAGGGAGAGAAAGGACATCATCCTGGCGCCCCAGAGGGGGGAAGCAGAGCGCTAAGTATTTATAGTCGACGAGGATACGAGGAGTTTCGGCCGATGTGACGATGGTTTCTTTGGTCGTTATTTTGCTGGCTTTCGGTGTTGGGAGAAAACGAAGCAACAGGATAAGAGAGGATAAGAACGGCTGAGTAAGAGATGAGTAAGATGACTTAGTCATATAACTATTATGTAAAGGTGACATAAGCAGTAATAATCCACGTGATATGGCTTCCGCCCAGATCGCCCGGCGGTTTGTTTGGGATGCAGCATTTAAAGAGCCGAAGGTGCAGAGTGTGAGGCCTTCGACCGACATTAACGGAACCCCTGCCGCCTCTCTAACTGCTGACGCGCTTCCGGCCTCTTACTTGCTCATGGTAAACCCTTGCCGATAGACTCATTGGTTATACTCAGCAGAAGGTGGTGTGGTCCGGGTAAAGACTGTTAACAGCCTTTTGTGGCACACCAGCTAGTTAAGGGAACCGAACTGCTCTATAAAAAGGCGCACAAGTTGTGATTTCCAGAAGACCGTCGCAGGACAGCAGACAATAGAAACGCCACGATGCAATGGAACTCCGCGAGTGAGATCGCGACCTACCTGCTCTCAGCGAATCCAGTTGCTATTGTGGCCGCTTGTCTGGTGGCATTCTTGCTTCCTCTGGCCTTACACGTCTTCCTTTACCGTACAGCTCCCACGAGCAAGTCTGACCAGTTCATTTTACTGGGCTCTAGCGGGTCAGGAAAGACAGCTCTCTGTGCTAAAGTTAGCTATAGTATTATTCTTCCCTCGTTGCTCGGCCATTTTTCACTAACAGGTTATTTGTAGCTCGAAAAAGGTACTTCCTCAAACCTCGAGCCTCGACCAACCCATACTTCCCAGGTCTCCTCTACGTTTCCGGTAGCACTTCATCCGGCTGTTAGAAAAGGCTCAGACAAATACCGTTATGTCAATGACCCGACATTGGCACAGGCTGCCAAACAGCGGGTGACTTTCTCTCTCAGAGACACTCCGGGGCATGGGAAGCTTCGCGACCTTGAAGTTATTGCCCAGTTGCTAGATCCTTCAAAGCAGAAACAGTCCAAGACCAAAGTTCGCGGCGTGATTTTCATGATCGACGCTAGTACTTTGATGGACGCAGGCCAACTAGCCGATATTGCAAGATACCTCTATGACGTTCTGATAATACTCCATCGTTTCTCAGCATCCACTCGGGCACGCAGCACCCCCGTCTTAGTAGCAGCCAACAAGCAGGATCTATTTGCTGCTATTCCGCCGGCTATGGTGAAGGAGAAGCTAGAAGCCGAAATCGAAGCAGTCCGAGAGACGAGACGTAAGGGTGTGATCAATCCTGATGCGGAAGGTGATGATGAGGCCGATGCTTTTGGCAGTCAACCTTTTACTTTCCAGCTTCTGGAAGAGGAATCTGGTGTCAAGGTTGATTTCCTAGGAGGAAGCGTCACGACGGATTACAGAGACGATGCCACGTCTGGCCTTCGGTCCTGGGAAGAATGGATGGGTCAATGTCTATGAACGATTATGAAGACCTTAAAAGCATCAACTTGACTGAACCAAACATCATTTTTAAAAACAAGGCCATTTGAGGAGATTTCGTCCTCGCTCTCAAAACCTTCCTCAAAACCTTCCTCTCAACCTATCCTCCCGGTACACAACCGCCATAGTAATTGGCAGCGTGCCCATAATGCATTACTCCCGCCATTAAACATGCGTGTCTTGTTGCCGCTCTATAACCACTTCGACCTCTCTTTCTCGTCTGAAAGATTTATTTGGAATTTACAACTTATAAAGCAGCCGTCAACAAAAACACTCGATGTATTACTATGGTATTATCCCATCCGTGTATACGGTTTAAATGTTGAAAAAGGGAGAGAGATCTAAATACAAACACCCAATCAGAAACAATGCAGCAGTCGTTGAAACATCTAACCTGTAAGGCATGCCTGTTGAAGAACTATGGAACGGAAGGGGGAAAAAGACATGTCGTGACAACGTTGACCCAAACTCACTCCACCGCCAGATTGTGTGAAACGAGAACAGTCGGAAGAAAACTAGCAGGCGATGAAGCTAGAAATATCTAGCTTAGCTTGTTCTGCTGCAGGAGCCAAGTCAGAAGGTCGACCTTGGTTGCGACAGCGAGTGGTTTCATGTGGCCAGATTCGTCCTTTTCGGTCACAACGGCAGCGCTATTCCATTCAAAGAAACGGTTGAGGACGCTCAGGGGAGTATCCATGGTGATTTCGACGAATTCTTTGCGTTTGCCAATGTCGTCGTCAGTGGCCTTGGGAGATTTGGCCAGATTTCGAGGGTCAGTAATGATCTCGGAGATCTTAGAGAAGTCAAACATGACATCTGAGACGGGGGTGTTGCCGGTAGCCCGGCCGCGTGAAATCCAGCTGAGGGTGTTTCCGAGAGTTATAAGACCGACTAGCTTTCGGCTTTGAGCCGCCAGGACTGGGAGCTGATCAAAGCCCTTATCTCTCATGGTCTCGATGGCAGTGGAACAGGGTGAGTTAGCAGACACAGTGGTGACAGGCTTGAGACGAAGAGCCTTAACCTTAGCGCCACCGAACTGGTCCGTTGATCCCTGGGGAGGTAGTTGTGGTGATTGTGGCACTTCTGCAGTGGCAGGCAGCAGGTCGTTGGCTGCGAGCCAGTCATCGTCAGCAAACTATGGAGGAGAAGGAAAAGGTTAGTATCCAGAATCATTAGTATAATGGTACAGAAACTGGACATACCTTGGTCAAGTAGCTTCGGATGCTATCAGGCAGAACAACGACAACAACATCATCCTTGCCAATCTGGCCATCCCTTGCTGCTTGAGCTAGACCATCAATAGCACTTCCACTGCTACCGCCAACAAGTAAGCCTTCCTCAGCAATGAGCTGTCGAGCGTACTTGAATGACTCTCTGTCTCCAGTCTTGTACCACTTGTCAACAATTTCCCGGTCAAGGACATCGGGAATAAAGTCATATCCAATACCCTCAACCTTATATGGCTCATTGAGGTGTTCCTGGTTTAGGGGCTCAGGAACAGCAAGAATAGATCCATGGGGGTCAGTTGCAATAACCTTGACGGAAGAATTGTGCTTCTTCAGGCCACGGGCAATACCTGTGATTGTGCCACCGGTACCAGCGCCAGCAATCACTACATTGACCTTACCCTCCGTCTGAGTCCAAATCTCTTCTGCGGTTCCAAACTCATGTGCAAGAGGGTTATTCTCGTTGCCGTACTGATCCAGGATGTGCGCATTAGGCAACTCCTTCTCCAGACGCTTGGCTACTCCGATATGGGATTCAGGAGAGTCGAAGGCAGCCTCATTAGGGGTACGGATGATGGTGGCATTCAGGGCACGAAGTACAGCAACTTTCTCTGCGGACATCTTCTCGGGCAAAGTAATGATTGCTTTGTATCCTAAAAGGGGAAATGTATCATCAGCAAGGGTGTTCATGCTGTAAGGGCAAGGATTGAGGCCAAACCTTTGACAGCTGCAACAAGGGCCAATCCGATTCCCCTAAATATCACCGACCGTTAGATCACAACTCAAAAGCAAGCCAGGCAAGGTTCTGCCATTTGCGCATCCTGCATGGTTCTCTGTATAATAGGGTACGTTACATACGTGTTGCCACTGGTCGGTTCAATCAATGTGTCGCCTGGCTTTATCCTTCCTGAGCGCTCAGCCTCCTCGATCATGCGCAGGGCAATGCGGTCCTTGACACTGCCGCCAGCATTGAAAAATTCCAGCTTCGCATAAACTGTTGCCTCTATACCCAGGCTCTTAGGGAGCTTGTTGAGTCGAACAAGAGGGGTGTTGCCGATCTGTTCGGTGACGGTCTCCATCACCGAAGGAGGGGTTCTCTTCTGAGACTGCGCCATGGCTGCTGACAGTCGTAGTCTGAATAGGTCGCAAGAGTATCAAGCAGTCAAAAATCCGCTATCTTCTAACAGAGATGTGATTTCAGACTCCGGGAATAGTTCTGCGCGATGAAAATATTGTTGGTACCTTTGGAGGATAAAACAGATGTTTGCCTCTTCTCTGATGGGACCAAAGGAACCAGCCGAAAGTAGCCGGGTTAAACTTTACAAGAACTTTTCTTCGAGCAAGAAGATATTTATGGACTTTAAGACACGTTCTCTTCCTCTGGCCCGTTAACACTAGTGTGCTGGCCCTCCCATGCCCTTTGCTTAGTATAAAAAAGGCCAGGATGAGGAGAGGCGTTTCGAGATTCTCTCCTGCCTTTGATTCAGCCTTTGCTGAAAAAGGGCGAAAAAGGACAAACATCCGACCAATAAGAGGCAAGAAAATAAAATGCCGGGGCCAAAAAACTCCGAAGCCAAAAGTTCCGCTCTCAGCCAATCAGGGAGAACAAAGGAATATAATTAATCCGTTTCATTATGTAATCCATCATTCTGCAGGTGAACGGGAGCTTTTTTGGGAGGTCGCAAAGAAGCAGAGAAGGAAGATTCAGAGAAGAAGAGAAGCAGTAGCCGGAGACCATGGCAGAATCACAGACGACGGGCAGCGATGCCTCAGATAAGGGACAGAAGCCCACTGGGTTCAAACCTGGGGACGATATCCTTACTCACTTCCGCAACATCTACGCCGGGGTTACAGGCAAGATGACACCCGAGGGTGTTGAGCAGTTCAGACTCGCGAGAGACCTTCGCAATGAAGAGTCAGACTGCAGGCGGTGCGAATCACAGAGAGATTATCTGCTGAATTATAGTATGAGTCCATATACGCCTTCGTCGCCGGTCTTACTTGATCTATTACTGATATGGTTCATTTACCTTATAGGCCCGGTTATACGATTCCTTCAAGATAACATCAGACAACTTGGAGGCGACATATCATCGAAGAATATATATTGCCGGAGATGTACAGCTCGGCAAGGTGGAGGGTTTGATCCAGAGTACGGAATTCAGATATGCGCGAATGCCATGAACAGCCAAAGCCAGCTTGAGGATACCTTGGCTCACGAGATGGTACATGCCTACGACCATTTGCGGTTCAAGCTCGACTGGACAAACAACTTGAGGCATGCAGCTTGTGCGGAGGTATGCCGCTTCCTAAGAGCCGGGAATGTCAATTGATGGCTAACATCTTACTAGATACGAGCCAGTTCCTTGAGCGGAGAGTGTAGATGGGCGAACGAGTTCTTTGGAAGATTTGAATTTAAGTTGGCTAACCACCACCAAGAGTGTGTGAGACGAAGAGCCGTCATGTCCGTACAGGCGAGACCGGCATGCAAAAGCAAGGAACAAGCTTTGAGAGTGGTAGATGAAGTATGGGAAAGCTGCTTCCGAGATACACGACCATTTGACGAAATATACCGATAACACCAGATATTATGGGAACGCAAAAAAGAAAGAAAATCAAATGTACAGGCAAACAGGAACGCTCAAACAATGACGCTGTAACAATAGATAGACTTTGAAAATACCCCCTCCTTAATTCTGCTTCATTTATTTCGATTTGCTCTTACTGGCGGCAGCCTCTCTCTGCGCCACTCTCTCGCCTTTGACACAGTACTTCAAGATCCATGGATGTCGTTGAACTTCATCCAGCGGGATTCGGCTGGCGGGGTCAAGAACGAGAAGCTAATGAAGAAAATGTTAGCGATACTATATCGGTGCTGGACGTATCCATACAGTTAGGGGACTTACCTTTTTGATAAGGTCTCGGGCTTCTGGGCTCACGAAAGATGGGATGGTCATCTCTCCCCGTACAATCCTCCTGTGTGTCATGACTGGGGAGTCTTCAAAGGGAGCTTCACCAACGAGGAACTCATATATAAGGACACCCAAACTCCACAGGTCGACCTTCTCATCATACCACTTATCACCGTTGCCTGGCTTGAGCATCTCTGGAGGGAGATAGTCGAGAGTACCACACATCGTCTGTCTTCGGTTGTTGGGGGCATGCACACTCCAACCGAAATCACTAATCTTGATCTCTCCGTGGATGCCAACAAGGATATTCTCTGGCTTGATGTCACGGTGCATGACATGCTTCTTGTGCAAGTACTTCAGCGCAGCTGCCATCTGGGCAATGTACTGGGCTGCTTTCCATTCAGGGAAGCGGTTTTCCTTTCGAAGGTGTTTGTATAGTTCGCCCTTACCGGCGAATTCAAGGATCAGGAATACTCGCTTGCTGTCATGGAAATGGCCATATAATCTCAGGATGTTGGGGTGTCTTAGGTTGCTTTGGATCTCAATCTCACGTCTAAGCTGCTTCTCAACATGTCCGTGGACAAGCTCGCTCTTGTGCAGTACTTTCAATGCACATACGAAGCCGGTTGACCTCTCACGGGCAAGATATACTCGTCCAAACTTTCCTTTGCCGAGTGGTTTGCCAATCTCGAACATGCCGAGGTGGAATTTCTTAGGGTTCCCAGCCGAGTCATTCATGCGCAATGTATTAGAAGATTCTTCTTCTAGAGGGCTTCTATGTGATTTGGACTCGTTATTGTTTTGCAGCGCTAGCTTCAAGAGGTTCGGCCTGTTGGAGGTGGGATTCCCATGAGCTGGAGCTGGGCCGCATTTTGATGGCACTCCCTATGACTTATTAGCTCTCTGTGGCCTTGCGATGTTATTGAGACCGGCTATACCTTTGCCTTGATATGATGGCTAGCTGGCGGTTCGTTTTCATCGTTCACATCCAACCGCTCAAAGCGAGCTTCCAGGGCCTTCGTAGACATCTTGGGCAGGAAGGGCAGTAGTGTAGATAGGCCGAGCAATCGAGAGCCGTTACAACCAGTATACAATCCAAAATATGAGGGGGAAGGCAAGGAACAAGAGAGAAGAGAGTTGTTTTCTGCTGTTGAAGAGTAGAAACTCCTTCAAGTTGCTCGTGGTTTTCTATTTACAACAACCGCAGGCGTCGGCGTTGCCACAGCAACCATCGGCCCGTTTACATCCGGCTTACCTAAGCTTTCCACCAAATGTCCACGTGATATAGTCCAATTGAAACCAAGCAAAAGGTAGGAATGACTTGGACCACAAATACAACAAGTCGCTCTTGTTTACCTATTTTCCCTTCTAGGTCTCTCTTGTCATTGCAGTTAAAAGGTCCAAGATTAATATTAAACCGTCATCCGGAATATTAGACTGGCTACCATGGCTGCCTCGAATGGAACACAGTCGAGTTTCCCCTCGCCAGAAGCCACACCACCAAGCTCGATAACAAGGAAGGGCTTCAGGATAACCACCAAGAAACTGCCAATTCTTAAAGCTGGCCCAATTGATGAGATGACGAATAAGCTGGGGATTGCGCCTCCTGAGATGATATTTGGAGATAACTTAGTCTCAATTGAGCATATACCATCAGGGTGGGGTATCAATTTCAATGCTTTTGATGCTCTGGACCGTGTGGACAAAACAGGAGCCTCTATGCTCAAAGTATCATACTCAGGCGAGTGGCAGAAAAGCAGGTGTGCAATATCTGGAAGTAGTTGTTTATATGCATGTTATTTTAGCACTAATACCTGGAATAGAGAATCAGCGCATGAGGGTATAAAGGAGGTGGTGAAGCCTTTTGACTGGTCATATACCACGGACTATAAGGGAACAGTCACTCCTAAAGGTCATGAATTTGAGCAAACATCCACTCCTCTCCCAATAGAGAGACTTAAGCAACCAGATCCAATTTTGTTCTACGACGAGATCATGCTCTATGAGGATGAGTTAGCGGATAACGGAATCACTATGCTATCATGCAAGATTCGTGTTATGCCGACATGCCTTCTTCTGCTTACTAGAATGTTCATGCGATTAGATAATGTTCTTTTCCGGTTACGAGACACCCGCGTGTTCGTGGACTTTGACACGGGTGAGGTAATGCGGGAGTATCTTGCAAAGGAGGAAGGATATGATAAAGTCAAAGAAGTAAGATTCACCCTTCTTATAGATGCCGCGAGAGAAATGTCATACTAAACATGTGTATAGATGATCGGAGGCTCACGCAAGGACGTCCCAGCGATGATGAGGGACCCAAACCATATCGCACAGATATTACCAGTTGTAGACAGCAGTTTAGAGCGGGTGGTTCTACCTCCTCAGGCAACGTAAGCGGGGCAAAATATAACCCTGCTAGCTTGAATTTGTATCATCCTTTAATATCTGTACTTGACATTTCTCCGTGGTGTAAATATGCATTCCATGTTCTATGCATTCTTGCTGATATGAAAGAGCTTATCTGCACTTCCGGCGCTAAACTCTTTTGGACCAAACCAAAACAAGCGGCGCGTCAACTTCGACAATTTGACCTCAATCATCGCGTTTAACGGCTCATAAAGCAACAGAATACCCTGAAGTCCTCCGTTTAGCTTGTATAGAAGTCAGGGATAGACTGACTGTAGCTATAAAAGCTACGATAATTTACAAAAATGCCTCGTCCGGCGGCGAAACGAGCCCGAGCCACACGCAGCAATCAACCTCCTGCACAAACGACCAAAGCAACGACGAGGGGAAGACCCAAGCAAAAGATCTCTGGAGGACAGTCCGAAGAGTGTACCACAAGCACAAAGTCAGCGCCGAAATCTAGAGTCACCTCTAGGAAAGATACTAATAGTTCGGACCTGGAGGGGCGAAGCGATGAACTACAAGATGAGAGCTTGGGGTTGGTGCAGAGAGAGCGGGAACGGGACTCATTTGGTAGCCAAACTCCCGTCAGAGACCGCCAGCAGGAAAATGCTCCTTTATCTGGTGGCGTTGGTATGGGGACGTCGTTGAGATTGCAAGGATTCCCGGGTAGCGCGAGAAGGGATATGAATCCACGGGGGCACACGCCTGCCTTCGAGAGCTCAATATTAAGCGCATTCCGACCGCGTCCAAGGCAGCCGAGTATATTACAACTTGTGGGGGATGACTCCTTGGACCTTGGATCATCCGAATTTGGCTCTGATGACCTGTTAGGCAGCTTTGACCCTGAGGACGTGTCTACACCGCTTCCAGCAAAGAGGAGAAAGTCACTAAACCAGGCTGATATCACTCCCACAGTTACCAAGAAGACACCAAAATTACCACAGGTGTTTGTTGAAGTCCCCATACGGCATGATCTTGTCTCAGATAAGAGAATATCGGATGAGCCGCCTGCTCTTGTGCAAACTTTGGGTGAACAACACGCTGATGAAGCGCCAGAAGAGCCAGAGGATATCGACGATCCTCAAGAGCAGGAACCTGCCCTCGATGAAGTTCAGTCCGAGATACCTGTGGCTGTAGATGAGGATGGCAAGGACGATGATTGTTCATCTGTTGGATCTGTGGACTCTCTACCCCCCATGAATTTCGCCATAGAAACACCACCACAACGCAGGCGGCAGACAACCACTCTGGCACCGCCAGAAAGTAGTGTAGGATCTATTACACCTCCTGCTTCGACTCCAGAGAGTTCTGCAAACCAGAAACCAAGCCCTCCGCCTTCGAAGCCTACCCATTTGTCTACGACCTCGCTGCAAGATGCCTTACTTCCACGACGGCGTCAACGAGGTAAAGGCCAACCTAATAAGAGGAGCAAGCGTTCTCGTGCTGGAGGTAAGGACTATGTGCTCTCAGCTTCAGGTTCAGAGGATGAGCTCAACTATACCGGAGGGCAACAAGACGACACATCCGCAGGCCGGCAGAGGAACACAAAGCGATCACAGCAGAACCAAGCCCGATTCAAGCTACGAGAAAAGCCTCAGAATACATCGCAGCCCAAGAGAGGACGCGGTAAAGCTGCTACGGTATCTTCTCAACCAAGGAAGAGTTCAACGCCGAAGAAGACCTATTCCCGCCTCAGTACGACGGGCGGCGATGCAGACTGGGATAAGGAGAACCAGCTCGACGAGGAGGCTGGGACATCACCAGAGCGAGAGATAGTAGCTCCTGTTATGAGCGAGGAGTTGCTGCTCCAGAAGAAGAAGTTTGCTGAGATCGATGAATGGTCCATCGACTTTGAAGAGGTCCTTGACGACGACGGCGAGGCGTACTAGAAAACCAGCCGCCGCCTAACTAGCTAACCACAGCAGTTCTCAACATTGACGCTCATGCATCCCCTCGACTGCCATCATCCTCATCTCATCACCGTCTCACGCCCTTCGTCCCGTCCAACTCTTCACTTCGCCCTCTCGTTGATATCCAACAAACATCCGCTGTTATGTAATCGAACCCGCCGGTAGCCATCTTTAGCCCCGCGTTTTCTCCCAGCATCAATACGACCGAAATGAAGAAAGACGGGAAAGACGAGGCAAGACAATAACCCATCAACGACTTCACCCGTTGCTGTCTTCTGCCCATCTTGTCCACGCATCGTCCAATCTTTCCTTGCCCTATATCAGCCGTATTCAGCCATCATGGATATCAACGTCGACAAATACCCAGCCAAGAGTCACGCGAGACGCGTTGCTGAGAAGCTCAAAGCCGCGGGGCACGGCTCTACCGGCATCATCTTCGTCGAAGGCCAAAAGGAGCATATTATCGATGACAGCGACGAGCCGTTTCACTTCCGGTGAGCCGTGGGAATACATTCGACTAGGCGAAATAAGCTAATGAAGGATGTTATAGTCAACGCCGAAACTTCCTCTACCTGTCCGGCTGTCTTGAGGCCGAGTGCTCTGTTGCATACAACATTGAGAAAGATGAGCTTACATTGTTCATTCCACCAGTCGACCCAGCCTCGGTTATGTGGTCCGGCCTCCCTCTCGAACCCGCCAAAGCCTTGAAGCAATTCGATGTTGATGCCGTGCTCCTCACAACTGAGATAAACAACTATCTCGCGAAGTGCGGAGGCGAGAAGGTCTTCACAATTGCAGATAGGGTTTGTCCAGAGGTTTCATTCTCATCCTTCAAGCAGAACGATACCGATGCTTTGAAGATTGCCATCGAGTCCTGCCGTGTGGTGAAGGACGAGTACGAAATTGGTCTTCTCCGACGTGCCAATGAGGTCTCCAGCCAAGCTCACATTGAAGTGATGAAAGCCGCAACCAAGTCGAAGAACGAGAGAGAGTTCTATGCTACTCTCAACTACGTCTGCATGTCTAATGGCTGTTCCGACCAGTCTTACCATCCAATTCTTGCATGTGGCCCCAATGCTGCCACTCTCCACTACACCAAGAACAACGGTGACCTAACTAACCCGGCTACCGGGATTAAGGACCAGCTCGTACTTATCGATGCTGGATGCCAGTACAAGGCGTACTGCGCAGACATCACCCGTGCTTTCCCCTTGTCCGGCAAATTCACCACGGAGGGCCGCCAGATCTATGATATCGCCTTGGAGATGCAGAAAGTCGCATTTAGCATGATCAAACCTAATGTTTTGTTCGATGACATGCATGCTGCGGTCCACCGGGTTGCCATCAAGGGACTGCTCAAGATTGGCATTCTCACTGGCTCTGAGGATGAGATTTTCGAGAAGGGAATCAGCACCGCCTTTTTCCCTCATGGTCTAGGCCACCATCTCGGCATGGACACTCACGATGTTGGAGGAAACCCTAACCCGGCTGACCCGAATCGCATGTTCAAGTATTTGCGTCTGCGAGGCACTGTTCCAGAGGGATCCGTCATTACCATTGAGCCCGGTGTAAGTGTTGAATCGAGTAGTTGCTCCGTCAAATGTTTCACATACATTTACTAACCCTTGCTCTAGGTCTACTTCTGCCGTTACATCATTGAGCCATTCCTTACTAACCCCGAAACCAGCAAGTACATCAACACCGAAGTTCTAGACAAGTACTGGGCTGTTGGAGGTGTGCGTATCGAGGACAACGTTGTCGTTCGCGCCAATGGCTTCGAGAACCTGACCACGGTGCCAAAGGAGCCCGAGGAAGTCGAGCGCATTGTCCAAGAGGGTGCTAAATAATTACGTTTATTCAAGACACCGAGTGGTCGAACACGCAGGAGAATGTACATATTTATGATCTACCCAGTTGATTTGCTGCCAAAAAAAAAAATCCGACCACAGCCCTGTTTATTGATATTACATAGTAGGAATAAAGGCCACTTTGCCCACCTCAAATAGTAACAATAAGAAAAGCAACTACTTGTACAACCAGCCTAGAAAGCTCTAGACCTCTTTCTCGCGGGGCCCTTGAATGCCGGGCTACTGGTGTTATCACGCTCCCTGGCCCTCTTCTCCTTCATGTCCAACACCCGATTAAGCAAATCGAAACTGAACTGGGGGTGCTCAAGACACAATGCCTTGAACTGCTCCTCGGCATCATGACGCAGCACATCACTCATCTTAGCCCAGAAGCGAGCAACCGGTCCTCTGATAGCAGTATCCTCTGGCGTGGTATGGCTATACACGTATCTCGCATACTCGATCTCGCCCGTAGCACTACTCTCGATGCTACCAATCTTGTTCTGAGCAAGCAGCTTGAGTTTGTCGTTTCCGAGCTTTTCGGCCAGGCTGTAGATTCGAGCATGTTTAAGGAGCTGCTCGCCGCTTGCATCGACCTTGGGGATCGCTGGGTCCTGTTCAAGGTCTTTTCCCGACGGGAGGAGACGGGGAAAGTATTCTCCTGTATATTGAAATTGGAGGAAACAAGCTACTGTGTCTGTCAACTCGCCTTCAAGGTGGATGCGCCGCTGCACATGGTCTGTTAGCATGGTATTCACGTCGCAGCAACTGGTTTTTTAATCAAAAGGTCTGTTGGCGAGGAGAGAGTACACTGACCTCGCCTGTCTGCTCGCACTGGGCGAGTTTCTCTGCGAAGAAAGGGCTCGATTCGAGGACAGCCTGGTGCGCTGTGAGTATTGTTTGCTCTCCGTCTTTACCCAGCACCAATTGCACTATGGGCGATGTAAGATAGCTAGCCTGGTATTAGCCGGTATTCCATTGTGCTGGCCAGCTAAATGCTATATGCTGTGGAGCGGAGCTGTGCATACTTGAGGAAAACCGCCTGCTGGCTGTGGACTTCGGGTTCGGCTGGCGGCTGTGTTTCCTGGTCCCCTGACTCTTTATCCTTCTCTTCCTCCTTGGTCGTTTCTGCTGAAGGGTCTTCTTCTGCTGCTGGGGCTGTTGATTCCTCCATCTCGACGTCTCCTGGGAGCTCGATTTGTACCTGGGGCATTGAGTCCGCCATGGCCGTAGTGAAGGTCTAG